CACTGCTCCCACCCGCGCTACCCGTGCCTGTGCCACTTCAACCTGCTGCTCAACCTCCTCGAGAACTTCGCCCTCCTCGTCCTGACGTACGTGTCCTCATCAGAAAACTATGGTAGGTGTCTCCTCCAACCCAAACCGTGATTCTATGATTCTATGACATGAACCTCCAGCTGATGGAGGTCTGTAGGTCTGGGGGATGTTCCTGACCAGCTCACCTTTCTCATCTCCTGCCAGCGCTCCCTGTCTCCCCATGGCGAGGCATCCTGTCGCCACCCTGCCTGCCTCTGCCAGTGTCCCCAGCTGCACCCACCATGGCAGGGGACTGCAGATGGACCTGTGATTGGGACTTCTCTGATGCATCAGGGGTGGGAGCATGCCCTTAGGAATTCAGATGCTCTTTTGGGGTTTGGGTATGTCAAAGCACGTTGTCACCCGGATGGCTCTGCCTGCGCCTCATCTCACAGGCGACAGCTTTGCCTGGCTTAGAATCGTGGAATGGTTTGGGTTGGAAGGCATTCCCACCCCCCTGCCATGGGCAGGGACACCCTCCACTACACCAGGTTGCCCAAAGCCCCATCCAACCTGGCCTGGAACACTGCCAGGGATGGGGCAGCCACAGCTTCTCTGGGCAACCTGTGCCAGAGCCTCACCACCCTCAGAGGGAAGAATTTCTTCCTTAGATCCCATCGAAATCTCCCCTCTTCCAGTTTAAAGCCATTGCCCCACGTCCTGTCACTCCACACCCTTGTCCAAAGCCCCTCTCCAGCTTTCCTGTAGCCCCTTTAGGCACTGGAAGGTGCTGGAAGGTCTCCCTGGAGCCTTCTCTTCTCCAGGCTGAACAGCCCCAACTCTCCCAGCCTGTCTCCAGAGCAGAGGTGCTCCAGCCCTCCCATCATCTCCGTGGCCTCCTCTGGCCCTGCTCCAGCAGCTCCATGTCCTTCTTGTGCTGGGGACCCCAGAGCTGAACGCAGCACTGCAGGGGCTGGGCAAAAGCCACGCTGAGAGCTGCAGCCAGCCCGGTTTTCTGAGGTTTGTGGGAAAGTTTCCGACCGGAGCTGCCATGCCGAGATGAGAATGGGCTCAGGTTGATCATCTCTGCAGGGCACTGCTCGTGTCTTCACCTCTAGCAGCTCCTTTGCCATCGCTCCACGCGTGGTTTCCCTTCCTCTGGAACGAAGAGGGGACGCAGGGAAGATCATTTCTGACATTCAGGGGGTTGGGAATTCAGCCTGCGGGTCAGCTCCTGGAGAAGAGGCTGGGAAACTCTTAAATAGAATGTTCATCTGAAATGGATTCGCCCGCAGTCGCGTGGGCTCCGTGCGTGGCTCCGTGAGCTGCTCTGGCTCCGTGCCGCTCCAGCGGCGTTTCCAGCCCGACCCTGCACTGTGCGAGTTCAGTGACGCACGAGACGGCCTCGGTGCTGGTGGCAAGGCTGGTGCCATGTTACTTGGCAGGTGGATGGTGCAGGAGGCCAGAAGATGGCCCTTTTTGGATCTTGGGCTGGCTCACTCTGCAAACCCCTTCTCTGTGCCTCAGTTTCCCCATCCCCAGAGCGATAGTGGTGACACCAGGCTGCTCTCAAGGGCACCTGAGGTTTACAGCTGTGTGATGCCATGCAGACTCCCAGACCAGGTGCTGGAGGACATAAACACCCCCTTGGCACCTTTGAGAGAAGTCTGCCAGCAGCTCACATCCCCCTCCAGCCTTGGGCATAGAGGGGGCCGCCAGGCACACACAAGCAGTTTCGCCATTAAATCCCCCTTCCCCTTCTCCGCGTGGGCGTGGGGCACACGGAGCCGTGCTGTGCCCGTCTCCTGCCGAGGCCCTGGGTGCCCGGAGCCAGTGTGCTTGCATGGGGGGGACCGCAGCCCC